GAGCCGGCCGCGCGCGGACTCGCCGCTCGCCTGGGCCGCTTTGCGCTGCGCGCAGTCGCCGGGGCGCCCGGCTCTCGCTCGCAGTTGGCGTTGGAGAAGTTTTTTTTTTTTTCCCTCTTCCCTCCCTCGTATTCTTTCTGACTTACCCCAAAGCGCCTGTATTAAAGTTGTATTTGCCTCGCAGCACACTTTGGACTGTCCTCCCTCCCCCTCCGTGGATCGACCTGCGATTGCGTTTGCAATCTGACACCTGTGTGGTGGGGTTTTTTTTTGGTGTTTCTTTTTTTTTTTTTTTTTTTTTTGGACCGATGTCTTTTTTTTGAAGTTAGGAATTCTAATAGACCAAAAGCTGTTTCGTGAGGCATGGTCTTAAAAATGTAAGGAAATGACTGTACCTGAAAACATTACTTTTGTGAGGTTGCATTTAGCGCCTAGGTATATCGGAGGGATAATTTTACTGTACTTTTTCTTCTGAAATTATGTGCTTCTAACCTTTTTTTTTTTTTAGTTTTTTACTTATCTAGTTCTGAAACAAACCGGCTGTGTTTGCCATATTAACAGTAAAGGAGCTGTATATGTAATAATGTCATCTGAACTGCTTTTGTCCAGAATTTATCGGAGTCTGTATTTGTGGACCATTTAATGGGGCACTCATTGGCCATGTACTTAGAAAAGAAAAAAATGGCTATAGGGACTGGAATAGTAAATAGCCCTTGATTTCAGCTATTAAAGGGAGACAAGCATATTACAAAGTATATAATACTTTTTAAAAATTCTTTTCGAGACAGGGTTTCTCTGTGTAACAGTCCTGGCTGTCCTGGAACTCTCACTGTAGCCCAGGCTGGCCTCAAACTCACCAAGGTCCACCTGTCTCCGCCTCCCAAGTGCTGGCATTTTAAAGGCGTGCGCCACCACTGCCTGGTTTGAGGTAACTTATATTTCATGCATTTCATGAAGGTGTAGTTTTTTGTTTTTGTTTTTTTAAGTCCTAGATGTGGAACCCTGATCCTGTTTGAAGGCATGCTTCCCCTGAGTTACACAGATTTTTTTTTTTTGAGATAGGGTCCCACTTTAGCCCAAGCTGGTCTGGCTTTCACTATTTTATAGAGGTCAGGTTGCTCTGAACTTATGCACCTCCCACGTGCTGGCATCACAGATGTACGTTCCTGTGCCTTTTCTGGTTTTCCTTTTTGTCTCTCACCTGAGTCTCCCCATGTGGTCCGTCCACACAGTGCGTTCTTTCAGGTGTGTACCCCAGGTCCAGATGCAGGTTGTTTGAGCCGCAGCCTCTTGTTTCCTCTCACAGACAACCTCCTGTTCACTGATGAGATCATCACTAATGGCTTTCACTCCTGTGAAAGTGACGAAGAGGACAGGACTTCCCACGCAAGCTCTAGCGACTGGACTCCACGGCCCAGGATAGGTACGCCTCAGACCAATGCCCTTCTCTCTCCTCTCTTTTCCAAACAAGGTGTTTTGTAGCCCAGGCTAGCTCGCTTGTTGTGCAGTCTATTGCACCAGCCTCTGGAGCATACCATAACCAGTGCTATTTTTTTTCTTCTTTACACCTTTTCTTCCTTCTTTCTCCTTCCCGTCTTTTCCTTTTTCTTGACTCCTTTGACAGGTCCATGTATCCCAAGCTGGCTTTAAACTCATGGAGTCTAGGATGTAAGGATGATGTCTTGAATTTCTGATCTTCCTGCCTTTTCCAGCAGCTCAAGTGCTGGGCTTTTAGGTGTGCTACACCATTTCCCTTTGGGGCTGAGGATGTTCCTCATCGCTGTCCTTTTTCTTTTATATCAGCTTTTCCTCTTTTGCTCTGTATGTACCAGTATTTTTTAAAATTTATCTGCTTGCTTGTTGAGACAGGGTCACTTGTAGCCTAGACTGGCTTGAACTCACTGTGTAGCTCCCATTGACCTTGAATTTCCGATTGTCTTGTGTGAAATGCTGGGGATTATAGTTAATTCCAGCTGTTTTTGTACCAACTTTTAATTCTGTCACCTTTACCATTTAGATCTAGTTCCTCAGGTATTGGTAAGATTTTTTTTTTCTTGGCCTCCTGCATGCTGATTTCTGAGTTGTTTTCTTCATCTTCCACCCATTTGACCCTTAAAATACAATCAAAATACTTAGACCTGAGACCTGCCAGGCAGTGGTGGCACATACCCTTAATCCCAGCATTAGGGAGTCAGAGGCATGCAAATCTGAGTGAGCTCAAAGCTAGCCTGGTCTACATAGAAGTTCCAGGTCAGCCAGGGCTACAAAGAGAAATGCTGTCTTGAAAAACAAAACCTTAGACCTAAGCATCTCACACACACACACCGCCCCCAAGCTCTTGCTCAGTCAGATCTATACCTTTAAAGTGTACTTTTTCCCCCCAGGCTTTTGGAGACAGAGATTCTCTGTAGCCCTGGCTGTCCTGGAACTCACTCAGACCAGGCTGGGTTTCTAACTCAGAGATCACCTGACTTTGCCTCTACCTCCTGGCTCTAAATTGTATTTTGTTTATATAAAAATTTTATATATTGCTGACTTATTTACTTGACAAATAAATGAGGTTTTAATTAGAAGTGGAATTGATCTGAGTCTCTCTTCCCTTCCTGTAGGTCCATATACTTTCGTTCAGCAGCGTCTCATGATTGGCACCGATCCTCGAACAATCCTTAAAGATTTACTACCAGAAACGATTCCTCCACCTGAGCTGGATGACATGACACTGTGGCAGATTGTTATTAATATCCTTTCAGAACCACCAAAACGGAAAAAAAGGAAAGACATTAATACAATTGAAGATGCTGTGAGGTTACTACAAGAGTGCAAGAAGATAGTCGTGTTAACTGGAGCCGGGGTATGTACGGGGCAGAAAGACAGGAGAGAGAGGCCTGGTGTATGTTTGATTCCTTGGCCAGTTAACTTTTTCTGCTCTAATTGTAGCCTTCGTTCATAATATAGGTGTTTAGAAATTGCCAAAACCTGAGGTGTAACAGCAGTTGCTAAATTAGTTCAGTGTTTTGAAAAGTCTGACAACTTGAAATGTTTGTTTGTTTGTAGCAGAATTGGTAAGTGGAATTATGGCTTTTTTCTTTTTAATGATCTTATTCGTGTGCGTGCGTGCGTGCGTGCGTGCGTGCGTGCGTGCGTGCGTGTATGAGGTTTTGCTTGCATGCATGTATGTGTACCATGTGTGCCTGGTGCCAGCAGAGGCCAGAATTGGGTATTGGGTTATAATTGGAGTTCTAGTCAGTTGTGGGCCCCCATGTGGCTGCTAGCAACCAAATGTAGCCTCTCTTTAAGGAGCAGCAAGTTGTCTTTAGTGGCTAGGTCATCTCTCTAGTTCCTGTAGTTCAGTTTGTTTTTGATTTGATGTGCAGGGTGTTTTACCTGCATGTATGTTTTGTGTTCTCTTGTGTGATGTGCCTGAGGAGTCCAGAAGGCATCAGATACCTTGAAATTGGAGTGAGGATGGTTGTGAGCCTCCAGGTCCTCTATAAGAGCATCAAGCTATCTCTCTTCAGCTCCTGGAGTTTTAACACAATGTATCCTGGCTCCCAAAGGAGATTTAGAGAAATTAGATTCTTTTGCAATGTATGGTAGCAAGGCTTTAGTGGAGACAGTCCATTTTCATGGAGAAAGCAGAAACTTAATTTATGGTTAAAATAGGTAGTATTGGGAAGGTAACATTCTCACCTTTTCTTCATTTTAACTTGGTGAGATTGTAGACTTGGCCTAAGACCAAGTCATATTCTGTGTTGTGTAGTATGTTAGCAACAAGAAACATATCGAGCAAAGTGAAAAGGTATTATGTGATCATTAAGAATTCCAGTTCTGGGAGGCAGAGGGAGGTGAGCATGCCAAAGCATGTCAGTGTGCACTAGCCCCTCAACCCCAGAAGAGAATTAGTTTTGCGTATAGGTATGATTTAGGCAAAGGTTGGGGTTTTTTGTTTTTTGTTTTTTGGTTTGAGACAGGGTTTCATTGTTTAACAGCCTTGGCTATCCTGGATCAGCTATGTAGACCAGGCTGGCCTCAGATTCACCTGCCTCTGCCTCCTGAGTGCTGGGATTAAAGGCCTCCACCCCCATTTTTGTTTTTTTTCAAAACAAAACATATGGTTTGTCTTGTGTTTGGGTGTGTGGCAGCAAGTATGCTATGGCACCTGTGGGAGTCAGGACAGCTTGAGTTATCTCCTTCCTCTGTGTGAGTCTTGCTTCAGGCTTGGTTAGAAGCACCTTAGCTGGCTGAGCCATTCTGCAGGCTCCCAGGTTTATTTTTGAGATAGGGTCTTACTTATAGCCCTGGCTAGCCTAGAACTTTCCAGGGATCATCCCAAGTGCTGGGATTGTTAAAGCAAGTACTAAAGCACTAGCATGCCTGGCTGATGGTTTTGGTTTTTTTGAGATGGTCCCTGTAACTAGAATGGTCTCAGCCTTGCAGCAATCCTCCTTCCAGTCAAGTGGGGTCCAGAGACAGTTTTCTTTCACTGTAAAGCTGGAGCAAAATGAAACTTGTTGATTCTCCTATTTGGACTGCCAGGGTTTATCTGAGGAAAAGTATCGTGTCTAAAACCTTTTATACCTTTTATTCATTTAGAAACAGTATCTTGTGTAGCTCTGGCTGAACTAGAACTTTCCTTTGTAGAACAGGCTGTCCTCAAACTTGCAGATAATTAAGATTCAAGGCAGGTGCCACTACATGTGGTTATTTAAGAAAAAGTTTGTGTAGCTGGGGGGTGGTGGTGGTGCAGGCCGTGCAGGCCTTTAATTCCAGCACTCAGGAGGCAGAGGCAGGCGGATCTCTGAGTTCAAGGCCAGCCTGATATCCAAAGAGAGTTCCAGAACAGCCAGGGCTGTTGCATAAAGAAACCCTTTCTTTAAAAAAAAAAAAAAAAACAAAAACCCAACAACAGCAATTTTCTCAATGAAAATCAAACAAAATCCACAAATCCCTAACCAAGGTGTGTTCTATACTTAGATATTGCTAAAATGCTT